TCCTTGATTTTCACGCGGCACTGCGTTGCATCCCGGCTGTATCCTCTCTCTGCCATGGCTTTAGAGATCTTCTCGTAGATCTTTGCATTCCGTCTTTTGGAGCGCAGCTCGGCAAGCATGGACTCATCTCCCCACATAGCGATGAGATCCAAGACTTCCCGATCAGTCCATGCTGGGGCCCTCTTTCTAGTCTGGGATTGCACGGCCATCTCTGCTGGAGAGCTCTGCATCGTTGCCATGCTGCTGAGCTCGCCACGGTGTCCAAACAGAAACTGCGATTCAAACTGCCCAGACAGGAAAAGGAATTCAAATTTTCCCTGGGTGTGGCTGGTCAGAGCATCCGAGCTCGGACTGCTGTCCAGAGTGTCAACAGAGTGTTGCACTGTGGGATAGCTCCCGGAGCTATTAGCGTCGATTTCCATCCACACCTAGCCTAATTCGACATGGCCATGTCGAATTTAGCGCTACTCCCCTCGTTGGGGAGGATTACAGAAATCGATTTAAAGAGAGCTCTATGTCGAACTAAATGGCCTCGTGGTGTGGACGGGTGCAGGGTTAAGTCGATGTAACGGCGCTAAAGTCGACATAAACGCCTAGTGTAGACCAGGCCTTAGATGCAAAAATGAACCATGCTAAAAAGAGATCCTTTCATGTGACTTTCTCATAACTGTCCAGAATATACTGACTTCAAAACAATTTTTTTTAAACTAAAATAAAAAGGCCACTGTTTACAAAAATGGTCAGCAAATGCTGCAACAAACTAACAGTTGGCTAACTTGTATGGCAGAATTGTCAAATACATGGTACTAAAGAGACTTAGGCTATGTCTTAGGCTGTGTTGCCCCGCAGTTCAGACTATGTGAGGTGGAGGTGTGTGAATGTGCACCAAAGTGCTGTGCTATACCTCCCCCATGGGGACACTGCAGGCTCAAATGATAAGGTTCCTAGTTTGGATGAATGTAGTCCTGTTTGAAGAGGACTGTGTTAACAGGAAGTGGGAACCTTCTAGTTTGCATCAGCAGAGTCCACTCAGGGGAGTTAGAGCACAGCACTTTGGTGTGCACAGCTAGTCACATCCCTGTATCCTGAATTACAGGGCAGTATAGACAAGCCCTTAGGAATGTAATGGCCATCCTTCAATGTGCCAAAATTTACATTTACTGTATAAATGGTAAACTCATCAATATACACTATAGCAGGAAATTTACACACAGTGAAGCTTCAATTTTTCACCTGTTCTGGCTTATGTGTGCTGAAAATAGGCCACAATCTCTGATGTTCCATTTGTATGATAGGAGATATAGTATATTTTTATGTTCCTGTGAAACATTGTTTCTTCTCATATAGAAGTAGAGCATGGGCTTCCCTCACTCCTTCCTCTCCTCTTCCTCCCTGCCCCCCCCTCCCCTCCGGCCTCAGTGGCCTTTTAATTAAGACTGCAAAGTTTGTCTATTTGGTGTGGAACTTTAAGTAATGAAGTATTGTTGGTTAAGAAAATCGAACAGATTTATTGTGTTACGGATGATTTGTTAAATAGTTACATGTGTTTCATACTGAATTGTAAAGCTCAATAACTTTTTCCCGAGGACATGAAGCAAATACCGTAAGACACATGAGATCCAATTCTCATTATTCCAGTGTTTCAGAAGAGATTTTTTTTCATTTTGTTATGATTTTAAGAAGGAAATTTTGTGCTGTAAAGTACATAGGAGTGGAGAGTCTTCTGGAGTGGGGGAAAAATTTCTATGGAAACCTGTTGAAAACTTGTTGGGAAGGAAGGAATTAAAATCAGATGTCTAATAAATCCATTGGGCTAGAGAATCAAAACCAGTTAGAAAACTACCCAAGAGGATCCTCAGAAAGCTCATTTTAAAATCTTGTCTTCAGTAAATAAGATCTTCAGCTTGTGTAAATCTGCAACTTTAATGAAGCAATTCTCATTTACACCAGTTGAGGATCTAGCCTAATATGTGTAAATAGAATGGCAAAGAATCCCTGCTGTTGCTAAGAAATGATGGCTGTGAGCTACTTTTTGTGCACCCCGATCTTGTACTGGTGATGCACTTCCAGCAGAAGCTGAAGTAGTTCTAACTAGTGACAGCTGCCAACAGGCTTAAAGAACAGGAGTACTTGTGGCACCTTAGGGTATGTCTACACTACAGAATTAATCCGAATTTAGATAATTCGAATTTGGGAAACAGGTTGTATAAATTCGATTGTGCGCGGCCACACTAAGCACCTTAATTCGGTTTTAAACCACATTAATTCGGTGGTGTGCGGCCACACTACCCCATTAACTTAAATACAGTAATTCGGTGGTGTGCGTCCACACTAACCCTAATTCGAATTAACAAAATCGATTTAGGCTCTACTCCGTTCGTCGAGGTGGAGTACAGAAATCGATTTAAAGGGCCCTTTAATTCGAATTAACTGGCTCTGTAGTGTGGACGGGTGAAGGGTTAATTCGGATTAAGGCAGCTAAATCCGAATTAAAGTCCTAGTGTAGACCAGGCCTTAGAGACTAACAAATTTATTTCAGCATAAGCTTTCGTGGGCTACAGCTCACTTCTTCAGATGCATAGAGTGAAACACACAAGGTGCCACAAGTACTCCTGTTCTTTTTGCGGATACAGACTAACACGGCTGCTACTTTGAAACCTGTCAACAGGCTTAAGGAACTGATATGCAACAATGGCTCAGCTGGGTATTGGAAGACCTGCCTTTGCCCCCTTCTCCCTGGTCAGGAGTCACTAAGCTGGCTTTATGCCACTGGAACATTTCCCTATGCTGGAGTGATCCTCAAGTAGGGTGAGCAGATAGCAAGTGAGAAAAATCAGGATGGGGGTGGGGGGCTAATAGGCGCCTATACAAGATAAAGCCCCTAATATCGGGACTATCCATATAAATCAGGACATCTGGTCACTGTATCCTCAGGGTATGTCTACACTGCAGTTAAAAACCTGTGGCTGGCCTGTGCCAGCTGACTTGGGCTCATGGGACTTGGGCTACTGGGCTGTTTAATTGAGGTGAAGACATTTGGGCCTGAGTCCCTTAGCCTGCGTCAGTTGGCATGAGCAGCTGTGGGTGTCTAATTGCAATGTAGACATACCCTTAGAGGCCTGGTCTATTCCTGAAAGATAAGTTGACGAAGTGACATCATTCATGGGTGCGAAAGATTAAGCCACTCTAAGCCCTGGTATAGCACTGCTAGGTCGAGAAAAGAGTTCTGCCACTGACCTACCTTCTGCCTCTCGGAGTGGTGGAAAACCCCTTTCCACTGCTGTAGCAAGTACCTATACTACCATGCTACAGTAGCATAGCTGCAGTGTGGAAACTGGCTGCTGTAGTGTGTGTAGTATAGACATAGCCTCACTCTCACAATCAGCTACACCAGCTTTAGAGCTGTTTTGTGCGAATAGGGGAGTGCAAAGCAGCCACAGCACTGAATATAGCCCCTTATCATGTGTGGTGAAATTTAGAATTATATCACTACATTCATAAGTTTGGTAATAATTTTTCAATCAGTTAACACTGCCCCAGATCTTTCATTTTTCTGTATAATGTAGCTCTAGTGCACTGCTGAAAACAGGTGGGCTTGACACCTAATGTAGTTACACTGTGCCACAGACTACACAGGCCCTTGTTTCTACACTGGGCATGGGGCTGTTACTGAGTTCCCTCTGGGGCAGGCGACTAACTGATGAAGCACCATCAAATGTTCACTATCCCCTCTGGGAATTGAGCAATCACTCGAGCAAATAAGCAGGATCCAAGTGTGGAGCTTCTTCAGAAAAGTAGTTAACTTCCATTGGGCCTGATGTAACTTTCCTTTCAGTCAGCGCTAACCATTAGTGTTCATGGCAAGCGGTTTTGACCTTATAAGGCATGTGGAAAATGCCAAGCAATCTCTAGCAAAATGCTAGAAAATTTTGCACCAAAGTAGAATCTGAACAATAAGTTTTTATTTTGATTGTGAATCTAGTAGCACAACTCTCTCTTACAAGCTTTTTTGCTTTGTGGAAATAATCCAAAAATAAGCTAAATTTCTGTTGGTGATCACTGCTGTCTGTCTCTTAGTGAAATGGAAGAGCAATATCTTAGTAGATTAAAATACTGAATTATATGGGACACATCAAATGAGTATTTACAACCAAGAAAAACAGATATGAATACAATTTTATTAAGGAGATGAAATATAATTTATAAGCAAATGCTCATATTTTAAGATAAAATACATAAAGTTTTAAATCAGAGTGTGTTTGTATTGTGAGTTATTGTAAATGTAAATGGTTTCTGTTTTAAATTTGGGAAGCATGCTATACTTGTTTTGGTGTGTCTGGTGGTGATGTTACATGATTGCACATTTCCTTTCTCATTTACCTCAGTATATATCCTTTTAAGTGTGTGTTCCTTTCATGGAGTTTGCTTCAGAATAAGTTCTCGATCTTTAAAATGATCTCTTGTTAGTAAAAGAAAACATGCTGTTCAATAAATTGAGTGTCCAGCTGGCTAAAGGTTTAAACAGGAAAAGGACATAAGAAGATTCTGTGGTAGGTATAAGATAAACATGCTCTTGTTTATGCTTTGTTGATTCCCTGATTGTTTAGAAGTTTGAATTTTTTTTTATACTAGCTTTGGGCTGTTCTTTAGAAAAACCAAACAATCAGCCCAATCTATATGACGGCTTTGATCTTTGTTTTCATATTTGTTGTAAGAGGCTAAAAGTCTGGCAATTTGTTGTATTTCATGCTTTGTCAGATCATACCCCCTCAACACATGTTATCCACAGATGGTTTGGAGGGGAGAAAAAGAAAAGGCAGAGTGCCTAGAGTTTGACATCTCCAATAAATTCCCAGGAGACTGTTTTATAAATGTCAGCATATTTGTGGTGGTTCATGCAGGTGCTTACACAGGACTTGTGGCCTTTCACCTAGCATAATTAACTTCCTTTTATTTCACAATGTTTACCATTTCTTTCCTTAACCTTTTTGTTTTTACAGAGTGCTCTTGAAGGAAAACTCAGCAAGTTGCTCAAACACCTGCTTGCCATGAGGCAAACACTGAGCTTCATACTTGCCCCAGGACAGGAGTCCTGTGAGAAAGCTCATCAGCTACTACCAACTGTTGTTTATGCTAGATTGCTAAATCATGTGACTAGATGTCATCAATCTCTGGAGGAATGCTGCAGCGACTTGCTTGTTTTGACACTTATTGTACCATCTGCACCTTGGGTGAGTTACAAGTCAAGGCTTCATATTTTTAAATTCACTCATAAAAACATGCCATTTTAGAAGGTTTCCACAGCATTTTTCATGGTTTTGTATTATGTTTATTACTTTCAGGTGTGTATGTCCTGCATGCATCCATGGGGGCGGAGAGTAGTGTTTCTGTGCATTTCAGATAATTAAGTTCAGCAAAGTTTGATTGTAATTTAAGTTATTTATCAACATAAAATACTGTGCAATTATAATTGGTCTACAATTTTTGAGAAGTCATCTGCTTCAGAGATAAAATGTGCTATTTATTATGTATTTTGATGTGCTGAATTCAAATATGACAATTAAAACAACTGATTGGCTACTGTTTCTAAGATATTTAAGTTTTTACATTTTATGTCTATGTATATTGTGTAGATAGAGTTTTAATAATAAATTGTAAACCTAGGTCTTTTCATGTGTTTATGGTTGCTTTACATGATAATATTTCACCTGTCCTGTTTATGTATCACTTCAAAAATCAGCAAAAGGATTATATAAATAAAATTTATTATGAAACAAAAGGCAAAAAACTATTATGTATATAGTTTAGTCCTATTCAGTGTCTACTCGGCGCTTCTTGGCTTGTCTCTTGTATTCATTAAATGGAGCATCTCTTGTCACTGTCCAGCAATAGTCTGCAAGCATTGATGGGCTTCATTTGCCCTGATGGCGTTTCTCCATTGTTGCAATGTCCTGGTGAAATGGCTCGCCGTGCTCGTCGCTCACTGCTCCGCAGTTCGGTGGAAAAAAATCTAGATGAGAGTGCAAAAAATGTATCTTTAGTGACATGTTGCAACCAAGGCTTTTGTATGCCTTGAGGAGGTTTTCCACCAACAACCTGTAGTTGTCTGCCTTGTTGTTTCCGAGAAAATTTATTGCCACTAACTGGAAGGCTTTCCATGCCGTCTTTTCCTTGCCACGCAGTGCATGGTCAAATGCATCATCTC